GGGCCCCCCCCCCCGTGCCCCGGGGCAAGCACCAGCCCTTCTCCTACGCTCAGAAAGTGCCCCCGAGAACCAGCAAGAGGGGCTTAGAGGAGACATTTGGGGAAAAAACAGGCCGGGACTCGGTTCATCAGGCTCAGCGTGATGGGGATCACCGCACTGCCCTTTAGCGGGGGCTTTGTCCGGCCGTCAGAGGACGTACCCCTTCCTCCCACCGCAGCCTGACAACTCCTTACCACGCCACTGCACCTCCCAGAGATGCCAACAACATCGAGTGACTGTCGAGCCCACCTGGAGGGATGACGCCGGAGTGCTCTATTGCCAACCACAACACAACGGAGGTGTTTTACAATAATTAGGTGATTAACAGTAACTCCACTGTCCAAAAAGAGAAACCGTCCCCAACTCACAGCAGCCTGGGACGGCTTTGCCCCCAGCAGCGCATCGCATGGCGGCCAGCGAGTAAGACGGGGCACCGAGCACATCACCCCCGGGAGGGCAGGTACGGGAGCTCAGGGCCATCCCGGGAAAGCCGCCTCCACCTCCTAATGCTGCAGTGCCCACGGTCCCGTGCGCTCCACCCATCGCCAAACGCTTGGTGAAACAAAACCACGGACCTTAAAACGTCCCGTCAAGGGCAAGCACGCAGCTGCCTTGGCTGCCGCTTCAGCTAAGTGGCTTTTGTGATAGACATTGGTCTAAATGGAAAACAAAACCCGTCCTTGTTGCAACGCCGGTGCTTCCTTCTCACTGGAACACATCGACCCCACTGAACACATCGACCCCACTGAACACATCAACCCCAGACGGCTCCGCTTGTCTGCGTTGCTGTAGGGCCCATCAAGTGTTGGTGTCACAGCAGACGATGTCCCAGTGCTGGCTGGGGCCCCAGCGAGCTGACGGCGGGTAACAGCTCCCCTCGCACGAGGGACTGGGGCCAGTGACCCCCTGTGCACACACACCACGGGAGCCCTCCCCGGGCAGCGAGCAAGCGGTGAGATCCCCCAGCACAAACCAACACAACGGGACAATTGGCCAAGGCCAGACATCAAAGGGCCGGTGGGATCCAAGGCAGCCGCACGCTGCCAGAGTGCTGAGCACAGGGCACAGCGGGTCAACACGGGTTGCCAGGGCAGAGCGCCCCAACAGAAAAATCCAGGCGAAGCTTCAGAAGATCATAGTTTCCGACAAAGCCTCCAACCATATTTGAAAATGTCACTTCAGAGCTTTTGAGAAGTCCACCCTTAACCCTCAGCACCGAAATCTAAGCAGCATTTTGAGCCAACAGCAGCCAAACTCAGCACAGGTACAGGAGACGTGCCTGGCACGAGGGACAGGGTCAGGACGGCCCCTGGGGAGCAGGGAGCCACTAACCCAGAAGCCAACAGCCGCTCCACGCTTGGATGTGCTCATCCCACCTGCACGAGTCATCTACGGAAACCCAAGAGGATGCTCATGAAGACACAGAGTACCAGTAACCGCCCTTGCACAGGGACAGGACCCACATGTGTCCATCTGTGGCACAGCACTTTGGGCTCTCAGGCCCCAAAACCACCTGAGGAACCAGCAGTGACAGTGGGGTGGGAAAGCCCCCGGAGTTCAGGCAGATCAGCAAGGGACAGGCGCCGAGGACACAACACGGCAGAGCAGCTGTCCCAGGGCGAGGGCAGCCTTTGGGCAACCCCGACCTGCTGGACGGGCTCCTACCTTGGGCTGCCGGCATCTTCCCCTTGTTGAGCTGCTTGAGGCGCTTCTGGTGGGACTTGCCGTTGTAGTGGATCTGCGCCTGCGCCGCCGAGTTGAGCTGGATGTTGCAGACCTCGCAGAGCGTGAACGACTGGTGCTTCTTCTCCCGCTTCATGCGCTGCTCGGGCTGGCTCGGTGGGCAGCCGGCCGCCTCCACCAGCCGTACCCCGTTCTCGGGGTTGTGGGATGGGCTCAGGGGTCGCTTCATGCCTGCGGGAGGAAGGACAGACCCGCCGTGAGGACAGAGGGACCAGAGTCGGGGGGGCAGGTGAGTCGGGAAAACCCAGCACAGGTCCCACACATCTGGAGGGGCTCCCCGAGCGAGAACAACCCCGTTTGCATCTCGGCAAGGAGTTGCATTAGGCAAGGCGACATGAGCGGCAGCAGCGTTCCCAGGAGGTTAGTGCTGGAGCAGGGAAGAACCCACTTCTTCCAAGTTTCTAGCACCAGACGACACTCCTTGTGCCAGTTGAAGCCTTTCTGTTCGCTCCTGGACGGGACCGTAATTGGCCCAAGGCAGAGCTGGGATGGTACGCAACGCTCTGCAGACAAGAAATTCAACTGGAAGGACTCGTGTGCTGCTCTGGTGACCCGCAGCCCGTCCCCACCGCAGCGGGAGGAGGACTGGCACCTCGAGCCACGAGCACTTTCTTGCCCGCGTTAAGCGGGTGCCTGTCCCGAACGCAGGGCTCTGCGGGACCGACCCGCACGGGCAGCTCGAGTCCCAGACCCACACAGGGACACACTTGGGAGAGCCGCCCAGGGAGGGGGTTGGGGTCAGCCGGGGACGGCCGTCCTGCAGCCTGCGCCTCGCAGACACACTGTCCCCGCTGTCCCGCTCCACAGGAGTGAACGCGGAGCCGGAGCTGGTGGGACATCCAGAACTGAGCCTCGGAGAGGCGCGAAGGTCACCCCAGCGCCGTGATCCAGTTACCACCTTGGAGGTGGCAGCTGCTGGTTACGGATAACCCAGGCACGCTGTGCCGCGACACTGGGGGGGGGG